CTTGAGAATTTTCTTTAAATTGCGAAGCTTCGGACTTTTCTTTAAATTGAGAAGCTTTGGAATCATTTTCGTCACCTACTTTGAAAAGAGGGGCTGTTTTGAAATTTGTAATCAATTGACGATTTTTCAAATCAATAATACAATCATAATGTTCAAGAAAATCTGACCCAAGAAGGCCATCGAATGAAATATCTAGATCATGGACATAAATTTTGTGATAATCATTGGGAGCAAATGGGACTAAGACTGCTTCAGTAATACTAATTTTTTCGTCAGTAATAACTCGGATAGAGATATTTTCTGCGACACGATTAGTATAATTTTGACAAGTGTTACGTTTGAAAATGGAGCAACCTGCACCACTGTCAATGAGAATTTGGAATTTTCCAGTAGCATCTTTAATGTAATATAAGTTATCTGGGCTAACGGGGTGAATTGTCGACGGGACTATAAACGGAGGGTTTATATGAACATCTGATCGCATGTGTTGCTGACGCTCGCACACGGTTTCGCGTTGGGGTCCTCGACACTGAGATTCGCTAAGTTCGCCAACAAATGTATCGGCGGTTTGATTATATTCGTAACAATAATCGTTACTGGGTTCTCTAAAATCATCGTATGGGGAAGGTGTGTAGGCGGAGTATTGGGTATCGTCATATTCATTAGCGTAGTCCGTGTTGTATAGGTCTGGTTCACCGTAGTCGGAATAATCGTAAGAATCAGGGGCGACATAATTAATTCGATTGGGAGGATTTTGTCTAAAACTTCTTTGAAAATTAGGGTTTTGGAAATTTGGATTGCTCTGAATTACAGAGGGTCTTGGCGCACTCGCGTTACGCGCATTTGGTCGTATTACAGATGGTCTGGGAAGATATTGATTAGAATTTTGATGGTAGTTAGATGTAGATGGTCTAACTTGCATAGGTTGATTAGGCCTAGGGTAATTTTGAGGTTGGGGCTGGTTAAACTGTCTTGGGGCAAAGCTTGTAGGCTGTTGTCTCCGTTGGCATTCATTTGCCAAGTGACCGGGACGATTACAAAAATTACAAATTTTAGGGTTTGGTCTTCGAATAACTGAATTTTGATTCGGGTTTGGGGCTCTGGCGAATTTTTGTCGTTCCAAATATGAAAGTTGTAACTCTCGTTTGATATACGAAACTGCGGTCAAGATATCCGTGGGATGTCCTGATCGCACAACAGGTCCTATTTTTGAGTCTAATCCTGTTAATAGACAATTTAAAGTCATCGTTTCGATGAGGGAACTTTGAGCAGATTTTTGCTCGCGATTTAGATTTTGCCTATTCACAGAGGAATGCATTTTGGCTGCGTGCGTCTGCAGTCTAGATGCAAAGGTTAGGGGTGATTCGTTGGGGAGTTGGCGCATGTGTTGAAGATCCGCGATTAAAGATGTGAGATCTCTAAGATCTCCAAAGTGCGTTTCTAACAGGGACCGTATGTCTTCCCACGTGGAAGGGTTTCGGCTATTCACAAGTTCGGCGGCACGTCCGCGAAGTTTGTTTTTAATATGTAAAACGACGAGAAGCCGCTGCTCCTCGACGGCCATTTGATATGCCGTTCGGCATGCGTTGATGAAGGTCGATAGCAATATCGGGTTTCCATCGTACTCGGGTACAATCGAAAATATTTCAGATAATCTATAAGGTTCAATGTTCGCATGAACGTTATCAGGAATTTCAGCTGGTTGGTAATCATCTGAACCGTTAGTAGACATTTTAAATGGAAAGTTGTTTCAAAAAGATTCAATAATGTCAAGGGAAAATGCAAAAAGATATAAATGTAAACTAGAAAAATACGTAAAAATGGGGAAAAATACGTGAAAATCGACAATATATAGAGTAAATGCGCAAAAATTCAAATAAAAAGATGTAGCAATCACACACACAGAGATAAATCGCAAAAAATAGTTAGATTAAAATTGTACGTTACCAAGGGTACATCGGGAGGCAGTCGTGTTCTCCAGGCGGCTACTGGATCTCTTGCGATGTTTCCAGTAGTCTGTCTGCAGTTGGGTGGCTGCTGCTCGCTGTGTCCCCTGTTGTTTTCTTTCTTCTTGTTGCTTTGTAGTTTCTTACTTGTAGTTTTCTTTCTTCAATGGGTTTCTTTCTTCTTAAGGCTCGTTGGTCCCTTTCAGCTTAAAGGATAGGCATCCACCACACTAGTTAGTATGCACGTGTTCTAATGCGTTGAAGCTATCCCACTTCTCTGACACCAATTTCTTAAATCATTAGATTTAGAAATAACTTTTTAAAAAATTTTATTTGAGGACTGAAGCTTCAGTCCATATAAAATACAAAGGTTTACAAATGTGACATTTACGGAGTCTAACCGGGTATTGAACATAAAGTTTACATAAGTGACTGTTACGGTGCCTAGCCGGGTAATGAACGACATGAAATGGGCGCAAGGCCTATTTATACTATTGGTGTGCTTACAAAGCACTTCTAGAGAATAAAGCGTAAACAACGTGTTAGCGAGAAGTCGTTATCTGTTGCTGAGCTAGCGTCTGGTGCAACATTGTATGGAATAGTAAGTCCATTGTTTTGAGTGCATATAACATGCATATTACTTTTCATCTGATGTGACCTTAGTTACCACACCACCACTGATATATATACTAAGTGACATATAAATCCGAACACCCAGTTTAAATGGTTTTATTTCAATAAAAGTTGGTGAATGTATTTATCTTACTATAAATAACAAGTGAAAAAAATTTCAGCCTTATCAGTTGGACATGCTTTTTTTTAATTCACTAACGCTATAAAAATGAATATTTCAGCCGCAGTAAAGAATCAACGTTGGCGGATTGTGGTTCTTGACATCCTTTACGATCGGTTACGATGCCTAGAGTACGGAGACCTGTACGACTTCGTCAACTTAGTGAGTTTGATAGGGGCCGTATAGTGGGACTTCGGGAAGCTGGACTCTCTTTTCGGGTAATTGCAGTTAGAGTGCAAAGAACTGTAGACACTGTGGTTAGGTGGTGTCAGGCATGGCTTCGAGGAGGCCGTACGCAAAGAGCAAGGGGCACTGGACGCCGCCGTAGAACAACAGACCGTGAAGATCGCCGCCTAAGATTATTGGCCTTAAGGGACCGGTTCTCCACTACCAGGTCCATTGCAAATTAATGGTTTGCAGAACATGGAAGACCTATTGGCATGCGAAGTGTTTACAGACGAATGAGAAGTTTTGGCTTGTTTTCATACCGGCCACACTGGGTCCTCCCTTTAACTCGAGAACACCGACATAATCGCCTTGAATGGTGCAGACAACGGTCACTCTGGGATCAGGAATGGAACAGTATTGTCTTTAGTGACGAGTCTCGATTTTGTTTAGTCATGCACGCTGGTCGTGCCAGGGTTAGAAGGCGACGAGGTGAAAGGAGGGTGCTATAGCTTATGGTTTCAGGTGACCTTTAATCTTCATCAGAGGTAACATGAACGCGCAACGTTATATCCACGAAGTTCTAGAACCCCATCTTTTACCATATCTTGACACCCTGGCAGATCCAACTTTCCAACAAGATAATGCCCGACCACATGTTGCAAGAGTCACAATAGACTTCTTTCAACATAATGATGTTACATTGTTACCATGGCCACCAAGATCTCCCGACTTATCCCCAATTGAGCACGTGTGGGATATGATGGGTAGGAGATTGCTCAATTTGCAACGTCCTCTTCAGACTCTAGAAGCACTTCGAGAGGAGTTGGTGGTTGCCTGGAATTAGATACCACAGGAAGACATTGACCACCTGATCAGAAGCATGCCTAGGCGCGTTGGAGAATGCGTAGCACATCAGGGTGCATCCACACATTATTAAAGGTCAAAGGGCTTTAAAGCAGTGCAATCATTTTTAAATTTTTATCATTTACCTATTATGCTTCATTAAGTACTTATAAAAAATTTTATTAAAATAAAACCATTTAAACTGGGTGTTCGGATTTATATGTCACTTAGTATAATAAAACTGCAACTTCATGAACCAGTTTTATTAACATGATGATTAGAAGACATATGAGCAATACTATCACACATACCTTACAGCCTAACCTTCCAACAAATCAATTAATTCGTCAGTACTATTGACCTCGCTTTCACTTTCTGAAATATCAATAACACCGCCTTTCCATTCTCTCAAGCTATCAGCAGCCACTATGGCTCTAAATCTCTTATACCCCTTTAAGCCCTCCAAAGATGTTATTTCATATCTACCATTTCCCAAAACCTTCTTCAATCAATCAATCAATCAATTCTTTATTCATGTCACAATACATAAAATATGTTTACATACGTCAGTAGATCAAATGAGAATTGCATTAGAATTAAAACAAAGGGAGTGCTAATGATTATAAAAAATTACAAACAAGTACACCAGCACTCATAAAGATATAACGCTAACATAACATATTAAGATTTATAGTTAAAATTTATGTCTTAAAAACTCTTCAAACGTGTAAAATGAGTTATTAATAAGAATTTTCTTGATTTGAACTTTAAAATCTTTAAACGGAAGCGATTTTAACTCTTTCAGGGGCAAACTATTTTATAAAATTTATTCTTTTATTTGGGCACAAAAAAAATTTTTTTTTATTACTTGTTTTTCACATAAAATGCTATTTGAGGATATAAATAATACTCAAAGCTTTTCATATTTCTTATTTTTACATGTAATTTTTCATATATTTGGCAAAAAATAAGTGGTGCTATATATGTATGTACCACCGCCCTATTCCTATTTATTTCTGTGAAAGTCCTGGAAACAGGTTTTATTTTTATTTAAACAAAGAGGCACATTGCAAACGCTGCATACCCAGTCCGTTCTTACTTGTTTTTTTTTTAGTGCTACAGCAAGCACACCGACGTCGAGTACCGCGTTCAGGTTGATGAGATGAACCTTCAAATCGAATTTCTTCAGAAACATATGGTTTGTTTTTTTTATGGCAACAGTTTCAAAGGTTGACAAAGAAGATCTTTTTCTACCTACCAGTTGTTGTACAACAAGACCTTGTACTTCTTCGGAAATCTTTCATAGAAAGTGTGGGTAGCTGTAACTCCTTATATAATACAAATGCATTAACAACAGCAGCATCCAGGAAAAAAAAGAAAATGCGATGCCACCATTTATGGATTTTTCGATCTATTTTGTAGGAAGTAAGATTTTGGTCGAACTTGTCGACAAAATTCATATTGGCATTGTAATCAGAAAGGGCTTTTGGACAAGGCACTTTGGTAATTGATCCATTCTTTTCTTTTCGGTTCACTTCAAGAGTATCACGTGGGTCATGGAAGTTAGACAGGAGAAAAACGGAACGCTTGTCCTTCCATTTAATAACAGACAAATCACTATTGCTTGTAAACCACTCGATATCACCTCTTTTCATGTTCTTATCTGATTTGAACTTCGGAATATTCCGCCTAGAAGAATTAACAGTACCACAGGCATGTATCTGCATATTTTTTAGATCTTCCATTAGCTCGACTCCGTTGAAAAAATTGTCAAAATAGACCAAGTGATTTTTATTTTCGAGACCCTCGCATAGCTGTTTCACAATTCTTGAGCCCAAGTTTTTCTCGACATCACCACTAGGTTTTCCTGTATAAATATCAAATTTTAGACAGTACCCATTTTTATCAGCCAGCATCCACACTTTGTATCCCCTTTTAGTAGGTTTTTTTTGGCATATATTGTTTGAGAGAACTTCTCCCTTTGAATTTTATCATGGATTCATCTATGGCAACTTCACGACTTGGCAGCATACATTTTCCAAATGCCTCTGACATACGGTTCAACAATGGCCTTACTTTGTAAAGCTTGTCGTAATTGGCTTCGCCTTTTTTTGCCATCAATGAATTGTCATTCAAGTGAATATTTCCAAGCAACCAACTAAATCGCTTTACCGACATTAGATTACTGACATAAGAGTCATGTAGATCTGGCGCGCGAGACCAATGGTCCCTATAACTTGGAAGGCGCTTTATGCCCATAAGTAAATTTAACCCCAAAAATGTTTTAATTTCACGAACATCAGTTGGTTTATGCTTGCTGAACTGTTGTTGAGCATACAGGTTCGTTTCAAAAACAATACTTTCTATCAAGGAGTCAGAAAAAAATAATTGAAATAATTTGTACGGTGTTGGATCTGTCATATTCGTTACACAATCTGCTAGACCAGAATGCGCAGTAAAATCTGGAGGTGGTGTAGGAGTTTTCACATTAGACCAAACTGGAGACTTTCTTCCAACTGATGAGGCAGATGAAGCTAGCTGCAGTTTTCCAGCGATAGTTGACAAAGGTATATCATCTTCTGAGTCACTATATGAACATATCAACACGTTGCTTCTAATAGTAGTTTCTGTATCACTTTCTTGGTCGTCTCTGCTACTGGCTAACGATTCACAATCAGATGGAATTTCTTCACCGTTTATACGACTTTGTTCCATTTCTGAATAAATGTTTTCGAGTTCGGCGTATAATTCACCTTCCGTCATATCGACTAGTTTAAGTGGCAAGTCAGACATGTTGTAAGTCTGAAAATAAAAAAAAATAGGGTGTAAAATAAAAACGTAATGTGTGCGGTGGTACGCATTGAGTACCAGTAAATATAAAACGATAGAGGTTTTTTTTCAAATAAATATAGGATAAAATCATAACAAAACAACTTTAATAAGATAATTACATCGAAATCATACAATGTTACTTACTTTTTTAGTGTTTCTCCACTCACAGCTGGTATATATTCTTGACTAATGAATCATAACCTTAATTTGCTTTTGCATGCGGTATTCCGAACTCCCGCGCTATTGTCGGTGCATGCGCTCTTTTATAGACACGTGAACAACTTACTTTGAGCGGTGGTTCATGGAATGAACCGCTGCTCGCTCTGTAAATGAAATTTTTAGCAGTGGTGCTAAATATGTACCACCGCCTCATTAAAGCATGCTTTGAGGTGGTTTATTTTATATACCATCGCCCTTGAAAGAGTTAAGCCGTCTGGAAGTACATTAAAAAATTTGACCGCCCAATAACCAGGTCCATCTTGACACCTTCTCAGTCGCCAATAAGGAGGTACTAGATTGTTCTTATGCCTAGTATTGTGCTCATGGACGTCCCCATGAGTTACATAGTTAGAGTTTCTTTTAACGAATAGTAGATTTTCAAAAATATATAAACAAGGCACAGTAAGGATTTCCAACTTGACAAAGGTATCTCTGCAATCGTCCCTGTAGCCCAGACGGCTCACAACCCTAACTGCTCTTCTTTGCAAGGCGAACAGTCTATGGACCCCTGAAGAATGCCCCCAAGCCAGAATGGCGTAGGATATATGTGAATGGCAAATGGCAAAGTAAGCCATTCTCAATATTTCTACAGAAACACAAGAAGACAAACTCCGTAGCACATATATACCTTTGGTGGCCTTTCCAGCAACTCTGTCAATGTGAAGGCCCCATTGCAATCTTGGATCCAAAGTAACCCCCAGAAACTTGGCTTCATCAACCAAATCACTGTCTCCAGGCAGGCTTCGCATGAAGAACACCATTCTCTTTGTCTTATCTTTATTTAGCAACAGCTTATTGGAGCAAAACCACAGCTCAGCCTCATCCTGCGCAGCCAGAGACTGTGCCATTGAGCGCTCAAAACTATTAGCGGTGTGAGAGACGGTCGTATCATCCGCCAAGAGAGTAAAGTTTGCCATATTGTTATTGAGAGGTAAATCATTTATGTAAATTAAAAAAAGAATTGGGCCCAAGATGGAGCCCTGTGGGACGCCAATATTAACACTTCGCTCCGCTGATGTCACTCCATCACATCTCACCACCTGAGTTCTATTACTAAGGTAAGGCTCAATTAGTTTAATGGAATCATAACTAAAGTTGTAAGCAAGGAGCTTTTTTAAAAGGATGTCATGGCTCACACAATCAAATGCCTTACTAAGATCGCAGAAAAGAACCGTGTTATACCCTCCTCCATGGAAAGCATCAATTATAGAAGAAATCAGGTTAAGTACACCCATAACAGTGCTCTTACCCTGGCGAAAACCAAACTGATATTGTGAAAACAATTCATTTGCCTCAAAAAAGGTTACCAGTCTCAAAGCCATACATTTTTCAAAGATCTTAGAGATAACTGGAAGAAGGGATATAGGTCTGTAGTTTTCTGGTGAATCAACATTACCGTTCTTAAAAATAGGTGTGACACTAGCTCTCTTTAGAACAGTTGGAAAAATATTTTCTCTAAGACAAATATTAATCAGTCGTGTTAGAGGGATCAAAATTATATTCTTTATACATTTTACAATTTTTAAATTGAAACCAAAAATATCTTTACTGTTTTTATTTTTGAGATTATCTATTACATCGCGAACCTCGTTAAATGTGACTTCAGAAAAAGAAAACAGAGGTGGCGGTACCAGGAAATCAATATTATTAACAGGATCTAAATGTACATCAGGGATGTGATTTACTATATTACCTGCTATGTTACCAAAAAAATTATTAAAGTCATCAGGTGACAGGTCACTGCTCCCAGGGCACTTATTACTCTTACCTCTTTTTTTGTTAATGATATCCCACACGGTTTTAGCAGGATTACTTGAGCTCTTTACAAGGTTGTCATTAGCATTTATCTTAGCTTTTCTTATTTTATTTCTATATAGATTTTTGTAGTTTTTATAATACTGGTCACTCACAAAACCATACTGCCCTTTCAGATCTCTCAAAAACCTCAAATGTTCCCTCATTGCCCTTAGTTCGGTATTAAACCAGGAAATATTATTGCCCTGGTCGGATCTTACCACATAAGTTTTCTTTGGAAAAGAGTATGTATAGGCTTCTTGAAGAATGTCCATGAAGTGGTTAAACTTTTGTTCACCGCTGGTACTATCAACAGTAATGAAATCCCAAGATATCTCCGACAATCTACTGTGTAACATAAACAAACCTCTTTGTGTTACTGGTCTATACATTTTTTTATTTTGAGTAAAACCTGTGGTTTCACAACCAAGAAATTTAACCAGCTGACCTTTATGATCTGATATTCCAATATCACATACCTGAGAGCCACACAGCTCCATCGCACTACTAAGGAAAACATTGTCAAGACAGGAGTCCCCACGAGTTGGTTCAAAGATTGTTCTTTCTAAGCCAAAGCTAGCTAGAAGGTCACACAATTTACTTGTATTAATATCTAATGTGTTGAAACTTACATTGAAATCCCCAGCAAGAATAATTTGCCTATTCCTACTCAATTGTGTTAATATTCCCTCCATTGATTCCAAGAAGGTATCAAAATTCCCTGAAGGAGATCTGTAAATAGTTAAAACATAAACATTCAGACTCTGACAATAAACCACACAGTACTCAATACATTTCTCAATATAAAAGGCAGGATTAATACTTATAACACATGAATTAAATTTATTTTTGGCAAAAATTGCAGTTCCTCCACCTGTGAAGTCCTTCCGTTCAGAAGACCCTCTCATCATATATCCCTGCAAATGGACAACTTCCATTTCTTCTTTGGTCAACCAATGTTCTGTCAGGCACAGTAGATCAATGTCCTCATCAACAAGAAAGGCCTCCAACTCATCTATTTTTCTTCTTAGGGATCTCACATTTATATGCAGAATCTTTACTTCCTGCTGTTTAGGTTTTCCTTTACCATATTTTGGCGCTGCAAGTTCCGAAAATGGTTTATTAGGGTGCCCTTTGGCCACAGATCCGGACATAAATATTTATCAATGTCATCATGAGGAACAGTAAGTCGAAATGAGCTGCAGTACTTTTCTTTCTTGGTTTTCATTTTTTCGCAGGTGTATTCATTAAAGTTGTTTTCTTTCAGAAAATTTTTCACGCTTTCGCTAGTAACTTCTGGTGCCAGGCCAGATAAAAACAAAGATGATACTCTGGATGCTGGTCTAAGGCTGCATATATTTACATTGGAGCCTCTCAAAGGTTCAGGTCGACTGGATTTATCAACAGGTCTGTTTCTGACCGACATTTTATTTTTATTTCGGTTTCTAACCTCTATCCATTTGTCTTCATCTTTCTCAGTCCGAGTAGCGATGGGCGCTGAATTCATGATGACAGGGGAGTTGGCCGCAGGCAGTGCGCCACTGTCGTCAACTGGTTCAGCGCTAAGATTTTCTAGAATTACGATTTCGTTGTTTGCAACCGCATTATGGATTTTGCGAGGTTCCTCGTTAGATGTCACTGAATCCGATGGATGTTTGGTATTTTCGTGCTGTTGGACCTTTTTATTTAGATAATCAACTCTATCTTCAAGGAAATGCACCTTTTCTCTCAAAAGTTGACTGTTTTCTTCCGCGATTCGATTTTTGCTTTGCAGTTCTTTCACCAGCGTTCTTAGAAGATCCAACTCCGTTGATTCTTCACAGAGCAGCATGTTTACACTCTCTCTTCTAACCTTGCTTGATTCGTGCATACAATTGGTATTTTTCAACTCGCCTGCCTGCTCCAGACGAGCAGGATGAAAGGAGTTATTACACTTTTTGCACTTCACTACTTTTTTTTTACAGTGTAGGCACAGTATGACGTTCTTTTTTTCATTCTTTTTAAGAGACGAATTTTCAGACGACTTCTCACTTTCCGCCATCTTTGCAGAATGATTTGATTTTATAAGGCCCTCCAAACTTTTGATAACCTACTTTCCTACTTGCTTCTTTTTTATTTGTATTCGCCCCAGATCATAGTACAAGATCACCCTTACTGTATGACTTTGTAGGCGTGTGCTTTTCATCGAAACGTTTTTTCATCTTTTTCGCCTGTAGGTCCATCCTCTCCTTTGCCTTTCGCTCAGCATCGGGGGAGGCCTCAAACTCATTATCTCCCAAATCAGCATGACGATTTTTTTCATAACCAAACATTAAAAGGTGTGGTGTGTACCCGGTAGTATCGTTTACGGTATTATTTATACCTCATAAGACTTTGGGAAGAGCTCTTTGCCAGTCACTTTCATTTTCTATAGACGTATTTACTCAATTTAATATTGTTCGATTATACCGTTCGATTTGCCCATTTGTTCTTGGACATGCTATAGCGTTTAGAATATGTTTAACCTGATATTGACTTAAAAATAGTTTGAACGCTTTACTAGTGAAAGCTTTTCCACGATCCGAAATTATTCTTCTGGGAGTCCCGAACATACTAAATAAATCGTCTACATGCTCATTGATCTCCTTAGCTTTTGTAGTTTTAGTCGGTCTAGCAAATACAAATTTAGCGAATGAATCAATTATCATGAGAATATATGAATTTCCCCTATCACTTTTGACAAATGGGCCCAAATGGTCAATATGCCATGTATGAAATGGTTCGCATGGCTTAGTTATCGGAAAAAGTTGTCCTTGTTGTTTCCCATATTGTCCTCTTTTATAATCTAGACACGCAGTTACGTATTTTTTATAAACCTAGTCATATTTTTGAACCAAAATTTGTCCTTGATAATTGCCTCGCAGCGTTTTAGTCCCACGTGACCAATATCATCATGATATTTCCGCAATATATTAAATCGCGCAGACTTGGGGACAACCAGCTTAAGCTTACCATCTAACGTCTTACGATACAATTTATGATCCCTTATTTCATAATTATTTGATAAATGTCCTTGTCGTTTGCTGCGGATAACTTTTCTTTTATCATCCGGATACTTTCGTCTTGTTGTTGTAATGCTAAAACCCAATCAGACGCATCCATAATAAGTACATCGCTCACTGGATTTCTGCTTAGAGCATCTACATGTTTCATTTTATCACCTGGACGGTGTTCTATTTCAAAATCAAAATCTTGGATTCTTAACCACCATCGTGCAACCCTAGGTAGCAAATCTTTATTTCTCAAAAGTACTCCTAGCTGCACTACAATCTGTGACTATTTTGAAGTGTATTCCTACCAAATAGACCCTAAATCTTTTAATTGACTCAACAACAGCTAAAGTCTCTAGCTCGTATGAATGATATAATTTTTCATCACGTTATGTTGCCCTGCTAAAGTAATAGACCGGTTTTAACGTAGTTCCCTCATACTGCAGGAGAATGCTTGCAATGCCCTTGCTACATGCGTCTGTATGTAATTCAGTCTTTGCTTTAGGGTCATAAATTTTTAGGATAGGTTTATTTATAAGTATATCCTTAATCTTACTAACAGCTTGTTTGTGCTCACTTTCCCAAGACCACGGTACATTTTTGCGTAACAATGTTGTAGTGGAGCGACAATTTTAGCATGATCTCTTATAAAGTTCCGAAAATAGGAACTAAGCCCCAAAAACTGCCTTAGTTCATGTATATTTGTTGGATCCTTGAAATCTGCTACTGCTCTAACTTTTCGATCACCAGGTCTGATACCTAGTTCCGAAATCTCATAACCAAGGAAATCAATTTGTGTCTGGAAAAATGAGCACTTATCTATGTTCAATTTTAAATTGGCTTTCGCAAATAGTTCAAGAACATTTTGTAAAACTTGCAAACCCTGTTCCACAGTGTTTGACGCGATAAAGATGTCATCGAGATAAACAGCGACTTTATCATATCTTAAATTTCCCAATACATTGTTTACCATTTTTTGAAACGTAGCGGGCGCATTAGCGATCCCAAAAGGCATCCTCAAAAATTCATACTGTCCGTCAGGCGTTACAAAAGCAGTTTTATTTATGGAATCAGATGCCACCGGCACTTGATAATATCCTTGAGCCATATCTAAGCTGCAAAAATACTTCTTATTTTGTAGCCTGGATATCAAATCTCCTATGTGTGGCAGTGGGTAATTATTTTTACCGGTGTGAAGTTGGCAGACAAAATTTAGCGGACAATTTGCCGAAGATACCCGAATGACCAGTGGCGTCGACATCCTCGACCAGACTGTGATTGTGCAGGATACAGCTAACAGCTCGCAACAATAAATATATATGCACGAGAATAAGCACCCCTATAGGATGAATCATTTTCCACCCTAATTAAATAATTGGCAGGAACAAGAGTTAACCCAAAACCTTTCTTCGAATTTTCACTTACCGATTACTGTATTGAAAGTAATTAATGAGCTAAATAGCATATACTGAGAAAATCTCTAAAGGGGTGCTAGATGAAAAAATATAAATAAAACTTCATTTTCACCCCCAAAAAAATGATTCCCCAAAATGATTTATATCTCAAAAAATACTCTATTACAGAGACAATTCATGGGCTAGGTGGCATGGTGTGAGAAAGCTTCTGAAAGGCTGGCAGATAAAAAAATATGCTAAAAAATTCATTTTCACCCCCAAGGAAATGATTCCCCAAAATCAGTTGTACCTCAAAAAAATATGTTAAAAAATTCATTTTCACCCCCAAGGAAACGATTCCTCAAAATCAGTTGTACCTCAAAAAAATACTCTATTATAGAGACAATTTATAGGCTGGGTCGCATGGTGTGAGAAAGCTTCTGAAAGGCTGGCAGATAAAAAATATGCTAAAAAAAATCATTTTCACCCCCAAGGAAACGATTCCTCAAAAACAGTTGTACTTCAAAAAAATACTCTATTATAGAGACAATTTATAGGCTGGGTCGCATGGTGTGAGAAAGATTCTGAAAGGCTGGCAGATGAAAAAAAATTTGCTAAAAAATTCATTTTCACCCCCAAGGAAATGATTCCCCAAAATCAGGTACCTCAAAAGAATACCCCATTATAGAGACAATTTATAGGCTGGGTCGCATGGTGTGAGAAAGCTTCTGAAAGGCTGGCAGATAAAAAAATATGCAAAAAAATTCATTTTCACCCCCAAGGAAATGATTCCCCAAAATCAGTTGTACCTCAGAAAAATACTCTATTATAGAGACAATTTATAGGCTGGGTCGCATGGTGTGAGAAAGCTTCTGAAAGGCTGGCAGATAAAAAATATGCTAAAAAATTCATTTTCACCCCCAAGGAAACGATTCCTCAAAATCAGTTGTACCTCAAAAAAATACTCTATTATAGAGACAATTTATAGGCTGGGTCGCATGGTGTGAGAAAGCTTCTGAAAGGCTGGCAGATAAAAAAATATGCTAAAAAATTCATTTTCACCCCCAAGGAAATGATTCCCCAAAATCAGTTGTACCTCAAAAAAATACTCTATTATAGAGACAATTTATAGGCTGGGTCGCATGGTGTGAGAAAGCTTCTGAAAGGCTGGCAGATAAAAAAATATGCTAAAAAAATTCATTTTCACCCCCAAGGAAATGATTCTGAAAAAAAGAAGAAAAATATAGACGTAAACGAGAAAATGCGTAATAAAATATGTGACCTCTGCAGAGCCAACTAACTAAATGCTTCACCTAAATATAATAAGTTTCCATTAATATATACATTTGCCTGCCCCGTCTTTAGTAGATACCATATAGCGTGATCTGGTCCACTAATTTCAGAAATTTTGGGCCATGTCGCATTCTGGGGAATTATTTCCTTGGAGGTGAACATGAATTCTTACTTATTTTTCTTATCTGCTATCTCTCCTTGTGGTCTAGCCTATAAATTGTCTCTATAATAGAGTATTTTTTTGAGGTACTACTGATTTTGGGGAATCATTTCCTTGGGGTGAAAATGAATTTTTTAGCATATTTTTTTATCTGCCAGCCTTTCAGAAGCTTTCTCACACCATGCCACCTAGCCTATAAATTGTCTCTATAATAGAGTATTTTTTTGAGGTACAACTGATTTTGGGGAATCATTTCCTTGGGGGTGAAAATGAATTTT